GGTGTCCCTAAAAGGTCTGTACAACGCGCTACCAGGTGTTCTTGGTATGAAAATAGGACGATTTAACCCAACTTACCTCTATCCAAAAGTGCTTCGGTAAGGCGCTATCGACCGCCAAAGATTCAAAAAACAAATCGTTATTTTTATTTTATCGGAAAATGGTTTTGCCGATTAAAATGAAAGTCGGGATGTGAATGTCTAATGTAAAAAGGGTCTTTGCGATATCATCGTTTTGATTGTAGTTGCTATGTAGGTGGTAAAATACTGACCATCCACATCTGAAGAGGTCTAAAACTTTTTAACTACTATTTTGACGGTTCTGAATTTTTAGACATTGATAGACAGTTTACTTGCAAGCATTTTTTGTCTCTTGATGAATATCGCTATCTGTGATGGTTTACGAAAAAAAAAATTTAGGCATGATGAATGGCATGCACCATACATGCGATTGTTCCTCAAAAAATCGGAAGATGGCTGTTAAACCTTAGAGTGGCGTAACGTTTGTTTGTTGTTTCTTAAACTTTAACAATTTACGTTTTGCTTGAAGACTTAAAACTTTAAAAAATAACGTACCAATGTTGCAAAGGGCACAGTTTAATTTATTACGTCGTATAATGCTTTGTATGCGTGAAAATGGTGGTTACTTTGAACATTTAGTACGTTTAAATTAATACATTACATTGACTTACTCTGATGTGTTCGTTTATTCTACATTACTTGCTTGCACTACGGTTTCATAGCCTACTTCTTGCTTGCACTTATGGTTTTTGAGGAACAATCGCATGTATGGTGCATGCCATTCATCATGCCTAAATTTATTTTTTTTTCGTAAACCATCACAGATAGCGATATTCATCAAGAGACAAAAAATGCTTGCAAGTAAACTGTCTATCAGTGTCTAAAAATTCAGAACCGTCAAAATAGTAGTTAAAAAGTTTTAGACCTCTTCAGATGTGGATGGTCAGTATTTTACCACCTACATAGCAACTACAATCAAAACGATGATATCACAAAGACCCTTTTTACATTAGACATTCACATCCCGACTTTCATTTTAATCGGCAAAACCATTTTCCGATAAAATAAAAATATCGATTTGTTTTTTGAATCTTTGGCGGTAGACAGCGCCTTAACGAAGCACTTTTGGATAGAGGTAAGTAGGGTTAAATCGTCCTATTTTGATACCAAGAACCCCTGGTAGCGCGTTGTACAGACCTTTTAGGGACACCCTGTATATGATAAAGTGGCAACGTTGCAATCATAGCATCAAAACACAGTTCCCGCTTACATTTAAAACAAAAATGGCACATGATCAGATCGTCTAGTCATTAGACTATTTACGACCGTCTAAGGTAGGGATTATACCGAGACTCGGGGCTCAGTCGGGAAGGAACACTCAAATTCAAATAATTTTATATGATCAACAGTCATGACGGCGTTGGCTCAAGTCCCCAGAATCTCCAAACTCTAAATACTCGACTGGTTGCATTCGACGATGAAAAATACAGGGTGATAAATAATGAAAGTTGCCTCGCGTTATAAATTTAAATACGAGTGGGGTGCTCTATTTCGGGGAACCTGCGCCGTTTCCAAATCACTTTGTTGATCCCCCTTACAATAAGCTCAGAAAGGGTTTGTTAAGATTTAAATCCATACAGTTCCCATGAGTCGGAAATGCAGTCAGAGCTGCTTACCCAGAGCTTTTAGCTGTCAACTTTCCAGAAAGAAAGTAGCCGCCACTCGGAGGGGCACAATTATCGACACTGCACCCCCAGTGCCACACAGTCTTCAGCAGATTAATTATTATGTATTAAAATATGAATTTATTGTTTATCCCATAATTACAATTACTACATTTGAAATCCTTCTAAACTTTATGTTTTAAAAGATGTCGTTTGAAGAGGTGTTTATAATTTGTGCCATAATTACAATCGACACATTTAAAATCCTTAGAAACTTGATGTAATAAAAGATGTCGTTTCAAGAGGCTTTCATACTTTGTCTCAAAATTACAATGAGCACATTTAAAATCTTTCGAAACTTTATGTTTCCTAAGATGTCGTTTAAAGTACAGTTTACTATTTGTCTCATAATCACAATCAGCACATTTCAAGTCCTTACAAACGTTATGTTTTAAAAGGTGTTTTTTAAAATTGGATTTAAAATTTGTCTCATAGTTGCAATTACTACAATTAAAATCTTTAGAAACTTTATGTTTTAAAAGATGCTGTTTGAAGTTAAATTTAACATTTGTCTCATAATCACAATCAGCACATTTAAAATCCTTCGAAACTTTATGTTCTAAAAGATGTGTTTTAAGAGCAGATTTATATTTTGTCTCATAATCACAATCAGCACATTTCAAATCCTTCCAAACTTGATGTATTAAAAGATGTCGTTTGAAATGGTATTTCTTATTTGTCCCATAAGCACAACTAGCACATTTAAAATCCTTAGAAACTTTATGTTTCAAAAGATGCTGTTTAAGGACGCTTTTAACATTTGTCCTATAATCACAATGAGCACATTTAAAAACGTTAGAAACTTTATGTGTTAAAAGGTGTCGTTTCAACCGGCTTTCATAATTTGTCTCATAATTACAATCAGCACATTTAAAATCTTTGGAAACTTTATGTTTTCTAAGGTGTCGTTTAAAGTACATTTTACTTTTTGTCTCATAATCACAATCAGCACATTTTAAATCCTTATTAGCGCCATGTTTTAAAAGATGTTTTTTAAGAGCAGCTTTATATTTTGTCGCATAATTACAATCAGCACATTTAAAATCCTTGGAAACTTTATGTTTTAAAAGATGCTGTTTAAAGTTGCCTTTAACATTTGTCGCATAATGACAATTAACACATTGAAAATCTCTCGGAAAATCTTTAGAAACTTTATGTTTTAAAAGATGTTGTTTAAAGTTGGGTTTAATATTTGTTCCATAATCACAATGATCACATTTAAAATCCTTAGATACTTTATGTCTTAAAAGATGTCGTTTCAAGCGGCTTTTATAATTTGTCTCATAATCACAATTGGCACATTTAAAATCTTTAGAAACTTTATGTATTAAAAGATGTCGTCTGAAATGGTGTTTAATATTTGTCCCATAATGACAATGAGCACATGTAAAATCATTAGAAACTTTATGTGTAAAAAGATGTTGTTTGAAGAGGTGTTTACGATTTGTACCATAATCACAACTAGCACATTTAAAATCTTTAGATACTTTATGTTTTAAAAGGTGTTGTTTGAAGTTACTTTTATAATTTGTCTCATAACCACAATCAGCACATTTTAAAAATTTAGAATCTGTTTTACATTGAGGTATAAAGTTATGTTGAAAGTCAGAGTGTACCTGTACTTCTTCATTATCAAGAGATTTAGAACACAGTGTACTAATGGTAACTTCTTCCTTTACCGTCACCAAAACTTGGTTGTTGACGGAAATGTGTCCCTGCAGAAAGGAATCGATTTCTGCTTCTTGTTTCGGTTCGATTTTAATGGGTGGCGTATCATTATCTCCATCCATACCTGACAACAGTAATGTGTTTCTGGTATTAAGCAATACAATAAGATCCCAAGGCAACCAGACATTACCGAGGTACTTACTTTCTGAGTTACAGGGTTTGTTTAATTAGTGTTACACCATGCCACCAGGAATTATTTGGTTATATTTTGCGCTTGCGGTATTAGCTTCGACCATTGTTTAAATAATGCTTACACTATTTCCTTCTCTAAAGTGCCTTTAGTGTGACCATTTTATATTATTCAAGGGTGGGACGCACACAGACAGACCATCAACGACGAAGACTGCGATTTGGCGAATTGGAGATTTCTTTTATTGGTCTTGGGCGGTCACGTGATCTAAAGGGAAATTTACACGCTTCCAGTATCTGTCTGGATAAGGTACAAAAGCCAGTGACTAAAAATATGTATAACTCTCGCCAGGAAAGATTGCCGGTCACGCACACCTTGTGTTGATCTACAATCTATGTTTTTCTTAAGATGCTAGTGACTTGCGGAATAGGATCGTGCCAATGTTGAACGAAAAGCCAAAAAGTGTCGTACTCTCGCAAAAGTAGGTAACTGCTAAGGGTAAAAGAGTACGACGTAAGAAAAACCTCGCAGTTTCATTAATACAGTCCAAAAGTTAATTAACAAAATATTTTGTAAAAGTTTAAGCAGTAGTTAACAAAGATAGTAAATGCATATACACAATGTTGGTTACACTCAAGGTTAAAAGCAAGTTTTTGGGAACAATGGGTCAGGTAGTAGCAGGTACCTAAATTCTGAGAAAGGGTTAAGAATACAGGATGTGACTCATCTTTGGCGCAATAAAGTCCTTTTGTTAAAAGCAAGATGGAAAATCACATGGCTTTGTAGGGAAATTTAGCTAAAAACAAGATATGTAGAAATTATTGAATCGTCACTCATTTATCGCGTATAGATTCTAAACTGAAGAGCTTTGATTAGCGTAATCCCGCTCCTGCAAGATGGGTAGCCCGCCCCTGGTTTCGGGGTTTCGAGACTACAGTTGGATGTCGAAGACAATCACGGAATTAGGCGTCGTACTTCAATTTTGACTAGTTTTTTTTACCACCCCAGTGACTGCTTCATTCACGGAGAAAATTGTTAGTAACAAACAATAAGTCAGTACATACCTCAAACGAATCAGTAATTTCAACATATTAAAATAAAATGATCAAAACTTCAGGGACAAGACCAAGTAATCAACATCAATGAACATAAATTAAGCAAGCATTACACCAAAAACGTATACAATTACAAACAATAGCTGTTACAGGTTCATTTTTAGTTTAGTTTTGCGTTATTTATTTTGATTTTTAGTGTAGGAATGTGTTTATTTTGTTTTGAATATCATATCATAGGCGTGTCCATTTTCTTAAATCTCTTCTTGTGATTTTTTCGCTTCTTTCGATTCTTGCCCTTTTCTTATAATTTTATCTTCCTTCTCACAATCTAAACGCTTCTTCTTTCCACTGTTTTCACTCTTCTAATTTTGCAAGCTTATGTGTATACTATTTTATTCAATGTTACGCCTCTGATCCGCTTTCATTGCCATCTATTGTCAGTTCTTGTAAACTACGCTATTCTTTCCCGCTCTTTTCAAAAATCTATTCTTCTTTTCCGGCTAACTTTTTATGTTCCTTATATTAGTGGTATTACTGTTAGTTTTTTTCAAGATCTTCTACGTTTTCGTTTCCGTTTTGGAGATTTGTCAATTCTGTCGTGTGCTTGTGAGGTGCGGAATTTTTGCAGTAGGTATAATCCAATAATTTTGGGATTTCTACCCTCGTGAAATAAACTCTACTTATTCCAATGAATTAGTATTTCGTCCTTAGAAACCCTATTTTGGAGATTAAGAGTAGAGGAGAGGCACATTTGTATTTGTGATTTGCCATCTACTTACAACCAATATATATTTTACTTGCTCGCCGGATTTCAACCCTTGTGGTATTTTTGTTGTTTGTATCGTTTTCTATTTCTTCGTTGCCTTTTAGGTTCCGAGCGTTATTTCACCTTCCACCTATTTAATTAAACATACAAAATATATATTGTCTCTACGTTTAAGGCCCACACCATCTTGTAAGTAGCCTTTTCGTGCTAGTGTTGCGTTGATTTTTTCTTTTTGCCGTCATTTCCCTGTTAGCATTCCGTGCCATTATCAATCATAATCATTCGCCCTACAATATCTGTATCTGTATCCCTTTTTTCCGCTATTTTTCTCTATTTCTCTTCTTTATAGTTCTACCCTTCGCCCTGCATGTCCAGACCAACGGGAGCAGGTTTCTAGTTTTTCCTGTACGGCTTGGAATTACCGAAAAATTAGTGGCGCCTACATTTTCTGAGCATATTTCTTCCAGTATCGTCGAACCACCCATACCACCGATAGCAGCTGGAACCTTAGTGCTGGATTTCTTTATTATCTTTCAGTTTTATTCGTCACATAGCATAACGGTATCACACATGTGATTCTGCATTGCGGTTAAACCAAGTCAATTTCAAAAACAAAGATTGAAACATACAAATAGTATAAAATGCGGCATACAAAACACAAATACGATATAAAGAAATGCAAAAATTACTACCTGCATTAAATAACACAAAATATCAACAAACGTTTAGGTATGGAGCGACGCGTTCACGACCGCCATTCAAGACAAGATGTCAAACGTAACGTAACCCCCGTTCATGGTTTCTAGGTGGCGCAGGCAGCTTTTCCCCACCTAGAAATTGCATGGTTGCCAACTCTCAAAAATGTATGTATCGTCGTAAGTTATATATACAGGGTAGAACCTTTCAAGGCTAAGCTTCGCTTAAATTTGTCGGTGCATACGGCCATAAGGGGTTGTAGTGTCAACTCTCACTTTCAAATTAGTAAAATTTCACTTAAGAATCTGCAAGAATCACTCAAGGTTTACAAATCCTACCACCTATACACGCCATTTGTAAGTTCCACCAGCGCCTCTAGTGTTAAGGCTAGTCCTCATGCATACGAAATTCGCAATTTCTTTCTGGATCCGTAGTCGGTAAGTTAATGTCCACAATGGGCGTGGAAGACCAATACTGTTGACAATGTAGCCCTGTCTTCGGGGTCTTCCCCTTTTCTATTAGTCAAGCATTATAAACTTCAGCATTGATTTGAAAATAATGTTGTAGAGTGTGTTGCCTAAGAGTCCATGCTTATAACACTCCAGCTTTGACTCCTATCCATTCAGATGGGTGGTGCTTCAGACTAAAGCAATAGAAATTAATTATATTGTATTGATCGTGGATAAAATTAGTGTTAATTACGATAATGATAATATCTGACTCTTGTACTGTACCCCTCGAATTGGTCCGACGTGTGCAAGCATAAAAAATTATCACATTACATCGTAATTACCGCAAGTAGGTTGATAACCACCATGCACTTTTCCAGCATTTTCGTGGCCATTTCAAGACTCTTTTGATATATCCACAAAGACCACACAAGTTAATACAATCTACTAACATTGATTTATTATTAATAACCAATTCCACTTCTGAAGTAAAATTTTATTCATTCATTTCCATTTTTCATTTGCCATTCGAGAACAGGAAATAACTTAGCATCCGGCATTTCATTAATTAAAACGCATTAATGAATTGGATTAAAAAATAAGATGAAGCAAATAGAAAAACCTCCGGAGTGCCGTTAATTTTAGTCATCCATCTACAGACGCGCACGCAACGCTCTTAAATTTACATTTTGTCTAATAAAAGGACTTGACCTACAACGACAGTTACCCAAAAGGTCTCAATGGCATTCAAGTGTTGCATAAAAATTATCTTCTAGGTCTTTGACTTTGACTCGTCGTTTAATAAGAGGAAAGGAAGCAGGTGAAACGCAGAACCGTATTAGGCTCTGCTTACATCAGTAACCTTAGAAAATCGTAGGTGTCTATCACCAAACGGATGTATTGACGTTCCATTTTTTAATAGCTACATCACGGTCGTAATTTAATCGATGCATTAAAATTACGACCGACCGGCCAGCCCCAAATATAATTATATCAATTACCGTTGGCGTACCGCAATTTAGTTATAATTTATAATTACGCAACGTTATACTCCCAACAATGGGGTTTGCGGCAGATTTTTCCAAATAAAAATTATTTCCCAATAAGGATCTGTTAATGGCGGAACGAGCGACTGGTACAGAATGGTACGGCGATTTCAGCGGGTATCGCGAAGGACAAAGTAGCGGCCCCACTCTTATTACCTCTACCTAAACAACATACACGATGAAGTCTACAACGTGCAATGTGCGGAGATGAATGCAATGACATTGAAATTTATCCTCTATTTTTTTGGCACGCGGAACATTTTTTTGTTACATAATTATCTGCACGAAGAGACGATATGGTACGCAATTTTATAGAGTTCAATATTATGTACTACCTACATTAGAATTTATGGTGACCTTGGCAATAAAATTTGTGGTAGAGTACACCGTTTGCAGGTATTCTAAGGTCAACACAGTACTCAAATTAATGGAGTGTAACAACCCACATGCATAATCTTCTTTTAAAACTGCTTGAAATGCCCTAAACCACTGGGTTATCTCTAGATGAAGAAATTCATAGAAATTAAAAGATCATCATAGTACCTACCTAGTTCCAGTGATATTCAAGTTCTTTTTGCAGTTTTGCAAATCATTCCCATTTAACGATTTTTACGTTGTCATGCCAAGAATTTATTGTACTTGAATTATCAATTTTCCGGTTTGGTTTCGCTATTTGCATGCTCGGAAATCCATATACCAAATTTCGGCTAGCTCAAAATGTTATCCCCGTTTACACTCGTAGCAATTTTCAAATTTTCTTACAAAATTTTAAATATCACACCCAAAAATCTAGGTAAAGCATTTGGTTGTTGTGTTCGCTGTCGAGGATTTCGGATTACCAGTTTATTCGAAAACTTGTTTTGGCCCCCTCCATTTCTTTTGACACACTCAATAACCCTGGATACTGGAACTTTTTCACATCTGTCCTCCTCGCCTTTGTTAGCTCATGGAAAATGAAAATGGTTAAATTACGTTACCCTTAATCACAGTGATTGAAAAACAATAAAACAAACAACACCTCTAGTTAATCTTCTCATAAAACTTTTCCGTATAAATTGTCTGGATTCAGGATCCCCTAGCCCAGGTCAACGTTGGACAATTGTCCGAAATAATGGAGATTAATTTATCATACGTTCCGCATAAACTGAAGAGATTCCCTACGGATTGAAACTGTTCCAGCCTTTCTTAAGTCAAGGTGCGCCTTTGTTGATAATAGGGTTCAAAATTTTTCA